GTAGACAACTTGAAAAGAGGCCATAGAGTGAAGTGCCCCAGTGAAGACAACAAGCAATCTCCTGAACAGAAAAGTGTCCAGAAGAGATCCAAGTCAGTACCCAGAGTCTTCAAGCAGAGCATACAGAAACCAAGTGTACAGTGTTCTAAGAAAAAGAAACAACCTTCACCTTTAAAGCTTAAGCTTATGTTAGACAGTGCTGGATTTAAGAATAATGTAGAAAAGATGAGTACTCTTAGGTCAGGAGGAGAAAGACTTAGTGAAAGTTCAAGGCAGAGTTTACAAAATTCTTTTGAAATGTCTACAGCCTCTCATCCACAACCACAGAAAGAAGATGGAATTTCAGATATTGTATCTTCAAATATTGCATTGTCAGGTGATAATACAGACTCAGATAGTGTAGAAGGAGCAGCTGCTAGCAGTGTTGATGAAGTGCTAAAGAAAATAAGGAATGGCAAAATCTTGACTGAGAAAGAGGTGAAGCAGAAATTTAGTGTTAGAAGTGACAGCAGCAACCAGGCCTGTGAAGAAAGTTGCAAAGATAATGATGCATATATAAAGGCAGGTGAAGAGAAACAGAAGAAAACACAGAAAGAGGTGAAAGAACTGACTAATAAAAGCCTTAAGCAACAGAGTGAGCATGGCAGTGATGAGGACGAGCAAGAATTTGCTTTTGATGTGCCAGCTGAGGAAGTGAGACGCCTTGTGCAGGAAAAAATGCAGAAATTGGTACAGGCAAGAGCACAGAAAATGAATAAAATGATTCGAGAGCGCCGCCAGTGGGCATATCATAGGGAAAAATTAATATCATCTATAAAAAGTGAAAGTGAAGACCTTGAATCATTATCATCTGCTGATGGTTATAGACCATCAAGTGGAAGTGACTTTGACTTGAATGAACAGCTAAAAACCTTTCAAGAGGACCATGATAAAAGTAAGAAGAATCAGATGGATGCAAATACAGACAGTAAAGAATCCAAAGGAGAAAAGGAAGAAGAAGCACTAGAAAAACATGCATTAGAAACAGATACTCAAAATGAGAAATCTAAAGAACTAATAAACACAGTTGTTAAAAGAAAAGTAGAACCAGACTGTGATAAAGAAAAGGAGATCTCTCTTGAGGACATTGAAATTACAGTCATGAATGAAAATACTGGTGATGATGCTTCCACAGCTAAGAAGGAAATGATAGAGAATAAACCAGCAGCAGGTCTTGAAAATGAAAATATAGTGCCCAAAATCAGTCTGCAGCCTGAAGAAATCAAAAAGACTATGCCAGATGACGAACTTCAAGGTGCTAAAAAAGTTACAGATTCTCAGCAACTAGGTCTCACATCACCCAAATCGGGTCATGGAACACCTACCAGACGTGCAAGATGGGGCAGCATCAGGACTGCTGGACTTGAAAATTCTCCATTGGAATCAACTGGCTCTGAAATGGAAAGCACTTCTTCACAGGACATGGTTGTGGTGTTTTCAAAAGTCTCAGAACGTAAACAGTGGGAAAAGGGATGCAAAGATATAGTGAATGTACTTGCAGAAGCTCAGATTATTGACAGCCCCATTTGTCAGAAAGTAAAGAAGAATGTGGCAGTGATATCAAGTACAAAGGAAAATGCTAATGTTAAAGAAAAAATTTGCTTTGATGAAAGTGAACAAAATCTATCTGAAAAGCCAAATGTAATGGGTTCTACGTATACTGTGTGTTTGGATGCTGCACTATGTAAAGCTGGAGATACACCAAAAAGACCAGTGACTGGCTTAAATGAGATTCCACAGGTAATGAAAGAGGGTACTGCAGCAAATGTGACCAACAATTTAAACAGTACATTTACAGTAGAAAAGGATGAAAGAAAGGTTACAAATGATGGGAATGCAACACTCACTAAAAATAATGGTCTGACACCTCAGGCCGTTGAAGCAGACAAAAAGAACTTAAGTGGCACCTATGTTTTAGAATGCACTCTTGTTCCAAAGCCAATTATTGATCATTGTAGTGAAATTAACGAGAACATTGATTGCAAACTAACTGCAGGAGATAATGGATTAAATAAAGATGGTACATATGAACTAGAAAAGAAGTTAAAACCACTGCCAGTGTCACAGAGTGAAAAATATGAAGTGACAATGCCAGTTGACACAGAAGTAAATGCTAAACCTTCCGTAGTGCTGCCAAAAGGAGGCACTGGGAAGAAGACAAGAGGTGGACTCTTAGGAATGCTACGTTCTCACATGTCACCCAAGCCAAGAAAGAGACTGCTGTCTCATACCACAAGTGATTCAAACATATCTGAAAGTAGCAGCCAAGGAGATCTAGAGAAGAAAGCAGTTCCTGCTAATGCCAAAGGCAGTGTTGAAGATAATTCAAGTAAAACTATGAAACTGAAGACTGGTATTGTGGGAATTTTGCGAAGGCTTTCGTCTAAGCATGAAGACCTCAAAACTCCAAGTAAAGTTATCTTAGGTAGTACAGTTGTAATAAGCTCAAAACTTACGAAGGCAGAAGGCAAGGATATTGGAGAACAGCAAGAAATGAAGAAAGATAAGCCTGAGATTGTAATGCATCTAAACAAACAACAAACACAAAGAGAAGAATCCCTAGCAGCAACTACAACTACAGATAGTACAAAGGAGTTGATTGAGGGAGATAGTGATAAAGATACCAAAGAAATTGCTGATAATGATGAGCAGCTATTGACCCCAAAGAATGTAACTCTAGATAGTGATGAAAGCTTTTTCACCACATTTGCTGATAGTCCAGAAAGAGAAACCTTTAGCACTCCAAGACATGACTCAGTTGAAAGGACACAGAACAGAAACATGAAAGTTCTGTGTCTAAAAGACTTCAAAACTGACTCTGATGTCAAGGAGTTGACAAAGGATGTTGAAGCTCTTTCATGCACTGCCTTAGAAACAAAGGATGAAGTTAATTCTGGGATGAAACTTCTTGAGAGTACAAGTGATTTTCTTCCTATTACAAATCCCAGTGATGTATCCTTTGATAGTGGAGTAGACACACAAAAGACAAGCTTCACTTGTCAAACAGCCAATAATATTGGCAATGACTCGTCTCCTTTTAACTTAAATGATTCCTGTGAATTTAGCCAGTGCTCTGGTTTCTCAGAAATTTCCAAAGAAAGACAAAGTATCTCAAAGGACATTGATAATCATGAACTTCAAGAGCAGAAGACTTGTGAAATGGTTGCCAAAAGCATAAGAGAGGGGGGCAATGCAAAAAATAATGAAAATGATAAACCAATTACCTGTGACACTCATGAGGAGTCTCAGCAAAGTGCTGCATGTATAGCTCATTCCTTAGTAAATGATATTATTGAAATTGCAAGACAGAGGCTTGCACAAACAAAAGATACAAGGACACTCATTTCAGAAGATTGTAGTCTTATTTCTCATTCAGTAAGTGACAAAGATGAAGGTGCTATGATGGCCTCCATTAAGAATAAAGTTCAGGAAATATTAATGAAGGAAAGTCCAAAACACATAAGTATTGTAAATGAGGAGGCAAAGGAAGTGGGGACTCAACCAGTGCCAGTTTACACAGCCATCAGGAAAAATGAAGAGAAAGAACAAAAGGATACTGATACAAATATTGTTATCTCACAGGCAATGATTCAAGAGGTGGAGTCAACAATATTGGATGTTTTACCACCCAAGAAGAAAGAAAATGAAGTACCAGTACATGAAAAGGAAGACAAACAGCCATATACTCATTCTGTTAGGAAAAGGCCATCAACGCTGCCAAACATCCGAAGTATCCCAGATATCTCAGACATTCCCCTTTTTTCATCTTTCAATTTTACAAAAGATGTTGGTGAAGAAAGAAGGCCAAGCCTTAAAAGTTTTAGAAGAACAAGCAAAGAAGTCTGCAAGTGTAGATGTTGGGGGGAGGATTTCCAAGCCAAGAGTGATTTAAACAGACCAGCCCGCCAGTGCTCTCACCAGAATGAGGAAGCCTTAGAATGCAGCACTTCAGATGAAGAAATGGAAGATATGGCAAACCTGCGTGAATCAATGGAACTCATCCTATCCTCAGGAGAAGAGAGTAAAGAGCTGGGAAATCCATTAGCTATGTTGTCGGTAGCTCAGTCAGAAGTTTGGCATTTAGGTATGACGATTTATTTGATAAAAGTGAAATACTTGGTAAAAGAAAGATGTCATATTTACAGTATGTTTTGATTTGAGGCAAAATATTTGATAATTATTATTTTTTCATTAATTTTATATCTTTTTTGCATTTGTAATTATAGCATGATGTCTTTTTTGCATGTTTGAAATGCTTTAGATTACTGTCTAACATTGATATGTGGTCTTTTACTTGAATTATTATTTCTACAGATTCTGATGGTGCTGTCGTCTCTGGTGGAGGTGGTGTTTACGGGTGGATTGAGGAGAAACGAGCTAGATTGGAGGACTTGCTGGGAATGGAACTTTTCATGAAAGGTTTGTTGAGAAAATAGCTGTTGCTGGTATGGATCCATATTTGAATGATTGGCATGATTTTTTACATTACTACCATCCGTCCCATGGTAATTTTGAATTTAAGTACATTTTGTAATCACACCCTAATGAATTATCCTTTTATTCATACCAATAGCATACCACCACCTGGACTCGGCCCAAGAGCATGAGGGATGTGTCGTTGGTGAATCTATGAGCCAAGTAGAAGAGATGCTGGGACCACAATACGCTTACTTGGCCCATGATGTCCTACAACTTGTGATTGCAGATGCCGTTTATCATAATTAATGAAGGAATTTTGGGCTGTCCATGCATGTGCTGTGAGACTTTATGACTACTATTTATTTTTATTAGCAGTAAGAGCCAGATGGTATTCCCATAGCACAATCATTTGCTTGTATTCTTGCTTTTAAAAAGCAAAAGAAGGCAGCAGTTTGGTAGATTAAAGATTAAAGGGTTACGAGGCTGATAGTTTTATGTATGAAATATGTACAATAAGTGATATTATTATTATATTGATTATGACAATGACATGGTAATGACATGCAATACATTGTTATTCTCATTATTTTTTTAATGCACAAGGGAAGAAAATGCATCTTAAAGAATTAATTTTTGACATGTAAATGCCAGAAAAATATATAAAAAACAAACTAAAGAATGTGGTTGGTTTTACATTTTTGATAGTGCTATAGTCAGAGACATGATCTCAGGAATACAGATTGACTTTGTCTTTTTATTTGGAACTTTTGTTAAATCTTAATCTTATTATTCTGCAGATGTTCTGCATGAAGTAACAAATTACATATATTTATATTCTGTTTGTTTTTAAAGATAGTGACCCAGATGATGGTGCAATTTGTTTACATTTTGTTATAAATAATAGTCATGTTTAGTTTCTGTGTTATCCATGGATGAACTTTAGAACATTAAATGTATGAAAATTTTTCCCATATGTATATTATATTTTGCATATAACTCAGGTTAAATGTTGATATTTTGCATATCTTAGATTGATCTTTACTCCTTGATTTACAATAATTTTTGGAATGTAGATTGCAAATTTTACATAATTTTTCAGTTGGATACACTCTCAGTAGAAATGCAACTTAAGTTTTAATTACAATTATGTATGTGTTATACATTTTGCTCTTCTTTACTTTTCATCATTTTATTGTTTTATTGTCTTTTTGCAGAAGTAGGTTATAGAACACCACCTGTGGTCTTCATTGATATCTGTACCAGCAGATAGTTTATAGTTCAATATAATTCATGGTTCCATCTAGTCAGTAGTAAATATTGTGATATATATCAAAGTTCTGTGTTGTAAGAAGCTTTTGGTTCTTTCTTCTTGAATCTCAAGCTTTTTTTTTTTTTTTTTTTTTTTTTTTTTTTTTTTTTTTTTTTTTTTTTTTTTTTTTTTTTTTGTAAGAATGTGTCAAAATTTGATTTCATATAGTCATTATTGTTTATGGTGATGATTTATGTGTTCATTTGAGGACTTTTCATGTGATGTATTTTTGTAAGGTTTATTGTATTATTTCAGTGTATTTAAGCACACCACTTGCTAAAAAGAGCTTATCGTGAGCTTGTCTATTATAAGTGAAAGATAGTGATAGCATTACATCTTGTTAACTGTGTGAATGTTGGATGTATATTACCCCCAAAAATGGTACATGGGATCAGGTTAAGTTTGAGCAGATAGTGTAGGCTTGCATCAAAGCTTCCATATTCACAAGGTAATGCCATAGTGCTATTAAATGTTGCTATACCATAAGGAAAGCACAGAGGCCAAAGACAATAATCTCTAGTCATAAAGGCAGCTTCATTGGAAGTCGTGTGTCATGTGATTTGAATTTCATTTTGTAGCTTTCATATATTCCAGTGTTTTTTTTTTTTGTTTTTTTTTTTAGACATGCATGTAGTCTTCTAAGAATCAGTATCATCAGATTGCATTTTCATTGTAGTATTTAGTGTATCATTTGTAATATACAGAGTATAAGACTCAATGTGTGACAATATGAAGAATGGGAGGATAGTCATTTTGAATTACTTTATATTGGCTTTATTCAATCTTCCATCTTCTCTTGATCTTTCTGCTTTTTCTTCCCAATTTGCATATTTTTTGCTTTATTCACATTTCTTTTGTCTCCCTCTCTCCATTCACTCACTTCTGTCCACTCTCTCTCTCTCCCATAGTGTTTCTTCATGATAGTGTAATTCTTTTTTCAGATTTAAGTGCCATATAACCTTGATTACAATAAAATACATAAAATAACTTTTATTGGGATTCAGTATGATATACATTTTCTATCAAGATTCACTGTAATCCATGAATTTTGTCAGATTCAAGTAGGTAAGGTCTTTCATAACTGGGAAAGGGAAGCTTGTTCCCAGTCTTTTAGTATTGTGACTTTTGTACAGCATTCATGTTCTTGTCTTTTGATAATCTCAATTTATTGGCTTCCTCTTGGGTTGTTATGTAGGATGTGCTCAACCAATATTTTTTTTTTTTTTTTTTTTTTTTTTTTTTTTTTTTTTTACCCAAAACATGGCTTCCAAAACAAAAAGGAAAATGTAGGGATCAGAGTTGTATTTTATCTTGTGTTGGTGTGCTGAGTGTTGCTTGTTTACTCAGGTATATATTGTTGTAATGTGAGGCCATGACATAAGTATCCAGGAATGAAGAAGAGTTAGAAAAGAAATTTAGTATACTTTACAGCCAAATGATATTTAAAAATAGTTTTCCATTAGCTTATATAATTGTTTGACATGCAGGGTTTTTTATATGATATTTCTATAGCTTCAAAATATTCATGAATATTATGTGTTCCACTGATCTCCATTATTTTGAATCTTTTTAGATTTTGTTTTAAGATAATGTATCTATGATGTATCTCTTTTTCTAAACACAGTGTGTATAGTTAAATAAAATAAATCAATCTGATATAAGACATTTTTACAACAATCTGAGCGGTATTAATATTTGTTTCAGGTTTTTATTTATGTGTATGTGAATAAAGA